GGTTAGTAATTCTATACCTCTTGGTAGCTTAAATTCATAGTTTTTGAAAGTAGGTTGTTATAATAGTAAAACCTAGATCGGGGGTGCATGTACACTTAGGTTTATTATTAAGTGCTTTTGTTGACTAAAATTTGTGTATAGATGCATAGAAAACCTAATAGTCGTATCAGATCCATTAAGTTTTAGTTATGAGCACTACTTGAAAAAACTGAAAAAAAAAACGAAAAGAAAGTTGTTATTGTAGGACGCCGCGCGCTCATTGCTGTACGCGACGCGCCCTGAGTAGATTTAGTTTATTTCAGGATTTCGCCTACAATTTTGAATTTTTAAGATTTATCTTTTAGTTTTAAATATTTTTTAATTATTTAAACCTGGATAATTAAACTAAGAGGAAAATATGCCTAAGTAATTTGAAATTATAGATAATTGATATAAAATTAATTAGTTAAAAGTTAATTAAATATAATATATTTAGATCATATATTTTTAAATTGTTTAAAATAAACCTTACATATAATTATAATAGTGTATATATAGTATATGTAAATCAAAAAGATTTATATATGTAATATGATTATTATATGTATAAGAATCATACAACATGTGTCCTCACATGTTTGATATTAGATCATTAGTGAAATCAAGAGTAGGCCTCATTTATGAGACCATGTTATAAGAGAGGTGTAAGGAAACAACCTATAAAATGACCATTGAATGAGTGTCCTTTTCACTCATCGCTTCTTTGTGTGGTTGATTGTCATTAGCCGAAAGGGTTTGACAGGACAATGTCTCGTTAAAATAATAACGTATAAATTACTAAAACAAAGTTCATGTCTTATTTAGGAAATGTGAATTGTTGCTTACCCATGAAAAACTCAAATTATTCCTTATTGTCTATTTATGAAGTGTGTGTGGTTAACCAACACATAAATTTTATACGTAAGAAGAACATGTTGTAGCACTTGTGGTTGTAGTTTGTTGTTGAAGCGTGTGTGGTTAAATGGCACGTCAATTTGAGGACCATGGCATAATCAAAGGGTCACACGTTTTTGCATGGTTGGTTCACCATCTTATTTGTGAGACCTCGGTATCCTAGGCGCAAATAGACGATGTGCAAATCCGAGACTAACATGCCATTAAATAGTTTTAATGAATCTCAAAAGATCTGGGTGTTTCATGGAGATTGAAACTGACAAAGTGCATTGCCTACCTAAATAACTTCGTGGTGTACACATTGAAAATTCAAATATGGATCCTAGCCTTAGTAAATAATAAATTAGGGTTGGAAAAATTATTTAAAGGATCAATAAAACAAACAAGAATGGTATTAATATTGAATGACGTCAACAAAATAATCCACTAAATCTATTGCTATAAGACCTCTCAAAAAGATTAGGTGGAAGGGCGGTCAATCTAATCCAAATTCATAATTTAAGAACAACATCTCTCTGCTTAGGAGTGTAAGTACCAGTCACCAATCTCCACCAGTCCTTCGCCTCTAACCGGAGAAGGTTTAGGGAGCACTTGACCTTCTGGTCAGCATGGCAAGAACATATAAAGAAACAACCCTCCACATCAGACAACCATCTCATCGCCACAATCGGGTCCCTGACCCCATCAAACTCCAGGGGCTTCGTATTGTCGAAGTCCCAGTACTGGAAGGATCTCTCCCGTCGAATCCTCGCTGCAGAAACAGTCATTGTAGCAACAACAACAACATCCTCAAAAAGAGCAACATATCGATCATCAAAGAGCTTAATCATAGCGGTCTTGATAGACCCAAACATCCCCGGCATAGACCTCAGGCCAACAGCAGCCACCTCAGTGACGATGATCTCCCGAATCTGATAATTAGTCTATCCTGGCCTATCCTGGCCACCCGATCCAGATCATGATCCTCTCATCTCCATCATTCTGAAATTAAACCAAGACACATCAAAAAAGACACAATACACACTGCTACAATCACAAGACATGGCTACACCCTTGGGGTTTATGACTTCCTTGATATGCATACGAGTCATGTGCATTCAGTAGTACGGGCCCATACTACCTTCCACACTTACACATATTTGTCTCATGGATCATCACAACCACCCAAAACAAATACAACAATTAGGATACGCATACATCATATCCTCACTCTCTCGAGAGTGGCTAAACATTCATCATCAGGAAGGCTGCTCACACACATACTCATTCATGAAACTTCCACTAACCCTGCAGCCACTTGTGCATGCCAATCATACATGACACTGGATCCTATAGACAGTTGAATACTTGATTCTACCCTAAGCCTACAACTAGACAAGGAACATGAAATAAGGCTAAACCAAACATTCTCAAGATCTAAAATCTTAGTTATGTACAACTATGATGCATACACTAAGGAACTACATTAATGATGTCAATTTCATACAAGAAGTCCTCCTAGGCTATCAGGCATCATACATCAGGCAATTCTATCATGCAGTTCATGAATATCCCTAGCCTATCACTAGCATCCAGTGCTATCATATCATAACAATAACAGTGTGGTAACTTGGGGTATACTTTCTTGCTCCGACTTATCGTACACATCACATCCAGTGCTATATATATATATATATATATATATATATATATATATATATATATATATATATTGATGCGACCTTGGCTCGACCCTTAGTTCGTGTCTCCCTGTTGGATTTCGGGTAAATTCGGCAAGATCACAAGAAAGAGAGGTCGTCAGCCGTTTCCCGGGAGGAGGCTCCCGGAAAGACGCTTCGACGGTCAAGTTAGAAGGTATTCTAGGGTTTTCATAGATACAACTGGAGAAGATGGCTTACCTTGTGAGTTCTAGAGCGTACCCTTTTATACCTAGCGATCCTCCCCTATCCGTACGCGACATGATCGCTTTAAGGAGACAGGGTCAGAGGCGTTGATTGGTGGGTCGTGCGCCTCTATCCGCTAGAGCGCCCTTATTGGCTCTGATGGTAATGGTCTGATCCTGCCTCTTGTCTCCTGACCATATCTTTTGTGTTGACGCTGGGAGCGTCCCTGGCGGGCGCGAGCTTTTTGTCGGGACATTGAGAGCGCCTCTGGCGGGCACGAGCCTTTTGCTGGGACGCCCTGCTCTTAGGGGTGCCGGCGGGCGTTGAGCCCGCTGAGCTTGGTTCGGCTGGCGCACCAGGTTTCTTGGCCAGGCGCGGTTCTGTCGTGCTAGCATAGGAACGTCATCAAGTCCCCCAGTCCAGTAGTCGTAGCGTTGCAGCGCTAGTTGCGGCGTTCTAGACTTGATTGCTCTACGCGTGTCCATTTCTTATTTGCCTGCCGCTCCGGTTTTAATGCCGACGTGACCGCTCATGATGGCTGGCGGTTACGTCATTGTGTCAGATATTTGAATGTCCCGCCCTTTCCGTTTCGTTATAAGAATGCTCATAGGGTTTTCTTTGGACCCATCATCTTCTTACTGTCCTCTTTCTTCTTTACATTGTTTCCTTTCTTAACCTTTTCATGGCAAATCTTCCCGGTATTCTTCCTTCTGCGGCTTAGTATCAGCAGCTTGAAACCGCTTATGGCCTTTACTCCTTGGAGGGCGTAGAATTTCCCTCACCTGGTTCTTCTATTTCGTCCCCTCCCCCGGGAAAACTGGGATCTATCAAAAAACCTTAGATGCTGGTGTTCGTCTTCCATTGACAGATTTCCAGGAAGAGGTCCTTCATAGGGACGGTTGTAGCCTGCAGATGTTGACTCCCAACGCCGTTAACAAAGTGGTGGTGTTTGAGATGATCTATCGCGCCAACGGTTATCTCCCCGACTACTTTGTGTTTAAGTACTTCTTCAGGTTCTGTCTTACCGGCGCCAAGTGCACATTCTCTGTCTGACGGGGAGGGCATGCTTTGGTTCCTGACGGACGAACGCCCAAAAATTGGCAGGACAAATGGTTATGGGTGAACCAAGGCCTGGTTGGTAGCGGACGATATCGTGCGAATGCCTTTGTTGACACCATTCCTAAGCTTTTTCCCCATAATCAGAGAGTTGCAGATTTTTTGAAGGACATCCTAGTGTCTCCTGAAGACTACTCTGAAGCCCTGCTATCTGGCGTAGGGATGAGTCGTTCCTAGAGGCGTCGCGGCAAGATGACGATTTTCTTCTGCGTTGTTGACGGTGAGTGCCTACTTCTTCCTCTTCTCCTTTTTCTCTTGCTTTCTTCTCCCTTATTTGTATATACTTAATTGAGGCTAAGATTTTATGTTCTCGTGCTCTCAGGTGTTGAATTTCCTCTGTCCATGGATGAAGTCCTTCGAAAACGCTATCGAGGGAAATTGGAGCATCGGGAGGTAGACTTGGTCGAAAGCCTCCCTCCGCCTCGCCGAATAGACCAGCTTGCCTTGACCGCCGCTTCATCTACTTCTCCAACGACTGGGGGTGGCTTGTCGTCTGAGGCGAACCCTCTGAGTGCCTGCCCTATCTCAGCCATCATGCCATTGGGTGGTGTTCGCCCTACTTCCGCGTAGAGCAATGAAGACAGCAAGGAGGGTATCATCTTTGACGCCCGACACATGCATGCTAAGAGGAAAGCCGTGATGGCTATGGGCGAGCCAGCCACCGGCGTGCCGAACATTTCCAAGCGAATTCAGACCAGGCGCAGTTTCTCTCGTCTTCTGAATTCCATTGCTTCGGCTCCGACGGGTGTTTGTTGTGATCCCTGATAATGACAGTCAACAGTCCGAAGGGATTGATGGGGCGTATAATCAGCCCATTGCTTCTTCTGTAATTGTTTCTTCCACACCTGTTCAGACCGCCTCTCCTGCTCCTGCTAAGGTTTCACCTGCAAGAGACCTGGACGGCCAGACCAGACTACTGCTTATCCGGGTGGCACTGCTGGTGGGGACTCTTCCAGGCCTCCTAGTTTTGTTCCCTCCTAGAACCTTCACTGCGAGTCACGCCTTTCTGTTCGTGCTAATGCCATCGAGTTCGCCCGACACGCCTTTCCCCCGGCTTCCGTCACGGATATGGATGCTATGGGTAGTCCTGCCCTTTCGCATAATATGTCTTATGCTGCTGCACAGGGCGATTTGTTCTATCTTGTTGCTGGTGCGCGACGATTCATCCCTGGGAGAAATGGAAAGCTACGCATGCCAGGTGCCGGTGCCCGTATTTCTGAATTGGAGCGTCGTTGTCTTGAGTTGGGGTTGATCTCCAACGATCGAGAGAGTGCCCGCTCCTGCTTGGGGAAAAAAAATGTCGCCGGAGGATGCCAGATCTGCCTTGGAAGCGAAAGTTGACTCTCTCACCCAAGTTAACGAGGGTTTGATGATCCAAGTTGAAAGCCTCGAACGCGATGCTGCTGATCATGACCTAGTAATCACTGCTTTGCAAGCGAGTGTCGACGCTACACGCCATGACCTAGACTGGTTGGTGTGAGTGGGTCTTGTGTGAATTGTTGACAAGTTGATTGTGTTGGATAAGGTGTCTAAGTCCATAACTTATTTGGTATATACTTGACCCGACCCGGCATGGTCCATTTGGGTTGCACTTCACCCAAACTAGTTATGGATAATTTTATGAGAGTTGTATACTTACGATTTATTAATATATTATAAGTTATAATATATTAATATAAAGTCATGTTACTTAATTAGTTTTAATCTTGAATTAATTATGAATTAATTTAGTGATTAAAAGGAAGACTAATTAAATCATGGGCTATTATATTTATATGGTGTGGGCTAACACTCATTTGGGAATGGGCTAAGCTTATATGGAAGTCCATGGATGATCCATGGAGCTTTTACCCATGGATCCTTGGAAGAGGAAAAGACATGGGTTATTAGGGTTTCACCCTAACCATGTACACTATATAAACAAGCTTATGTTGCATGAAAAACACCCAAAAAAATGTGTGTGTAAGTGTGGTGGCCAAAATCAAGAGTTAGTATACTCTCTCATACATTTTCCAAGTTTGTGGTGATTTGTGATTTCCATTTGAGGCATTCACATTATTGGTGCTTGGCTCTCAAACTCCAAGGAATCAACAATCAACAAAAGGTATGTAATTCATCTAGTTCTTTTATGGTTAAAAGTACCCCATGCCATGCTAGATAGGTTATAAACCTTGGAAAATAATATTTTGCATGTATCTTAGACAAACATAGATCCAAGGTTTAATAGGGTTGCATGTACACTTAGGAAGTGTTAGAATGCTCAAAACCCAACAGTGGTATCAGAGCCTAGGCTTGTTTGTTTGATACTTGATGCAAAATAGTGAAAAAAGTCGAATTTTTTGCTGTCTGCCTGATGAACTCGCCGAGTCCATGGGGGGACTCGCCGAGTTCATGAGTAAACTCATCCTACTCGGTGAGTAGGTTCGTGCACTCGGCGAGTAGGAGCCTCAGAATGCAGATTTTCGACTTTTGCTGCTGGAAATGGACTAGAAACATTACCCTAAACCGTTTTGGTGTTATAAAACCTGTTTTAGATGGTGTAATGTTTATGCTAATCCATTTACAATGGCTTATATCAAAATTGCATGATAATATGTGTTCATATGTTCTTGGAATTTTTTGATATGATGTTCATGTTCTTATGAAGTATTGTTAGATCATAGGAATTATTTGCTAAATTGTTTATTGATAATTCTTGATATGGTGTAATGGTTGTTCTAATCCATTTACAATAGCTTATATCAAAATTTCATGCTTTGTATGTGTTCATATAATTCTTGAAACTTTGATGATCATGTTCATGTTCTTATGAATTTAGAAGATGATAAGAATTATTTGCTGAATTGTTTAGGATTAATTCTTGATCATTTATGTGTTTTAATGGAGTCCATAATTTGTCCTCAAGTTATGGATATCCAAAGGTCACTTCTTTTAAACACACACTTAAAACACATAAGTTACATGGAAATGAAGAGTCTTCATTTTTATGAACTTTTAATTCATAAGTTATGAAATGAAAAGTTTTGAATAGTTTCAAAACTTGTCCTCAAGTTTTGGAATTTGTAAAGTTACACACACTTTAATATACTTTAATTCCAAACCCTTAGAGTTTTAAAAGTTAAAAATCAACCCTTATACTATTTATAACATTAATGGTTAATTATTATATATATGTATAAGTTCAAAGTCGTCTTACCGCTAGTACGCCTCATTCACGAAGCCAGTCTATAAGGTGGGTATAAGGTTGTTGCCTATAAAATGGCAACTTAATGGGTGTCCACTCTCACCCACCGCTTGCTTGACTGGTGGAGGGTCGTTAGCCGAACGGGTAGGACAAGGACTTATAAATTCTCATTAAAAGTATGATGAATATTATAAAGTAACTAAACCTTATATAAATTCCCAATCTTAGTTACTTTAGGAAAATGTGAATATGGTGCTAACCCATGAAATTCACACTTTGTACCTTACCAAGTCGTTGGTGGAGCGTGTGTGGTTAACCGGCACACTAACTTGGACTAGTAAGGATCACGAAGGGTGACTTAATGTTTATCATAGATCGGTGGAGCGTGTGTGGTTAACCGGCACATTGATTAGGTGATAATATTAAGGGTACCAAGTGAATTTGCATGGTTATTCACACCTTGTTTTGTGATCCTCGGCATCCCAGTCACAAAACTTGAAGGGCACAATCGAGATTGAAACATGCCATTGAAAAGTTCAATGAATCTCAAAAGAATCTAGGAATTTCAAAAACCAATTAAACCTAATAATTCATTTCGTTTTCATGGTGGAAATTGGTGAATCGTCATTCACCTACCTTCAAATATGTTATAGCTTAGATTACGGCATCCCTCTTCTAAGTTATAATATATTGTGTTGGATCCTAGCCTTAATATTACATTTGGGTGTATTATTAAGGATTCGATATATCTAATCTAAACTTGTTTTCTTCTTTTCAGATGTCTTCCAACAACAAAGCTTCGGGCTCTAATCCTACTGGCTCCTTTTCCCTCATGAACCTTTGTGGGAGGGTCATCTTTGATGGTTCCAACTTCATGATTGGATCCGGAACATCAGGATGGTTACTCGTTACGAGGACAAGGAATATGTCCTCGATAAGGAGCTAAAGGAGCTTGATGAGTCCACTGCTACTCCTGAGGAGGTCGCTGAGTATCAGACACATGAAAGAGATGCCACCAAGGTGGCATGCATCATGATGGCCACCATGACAGCTGAACTCCAAAAGTCCTATGAGGACTATTACCCTTTTGAGATGCATCAGGATCTGATGGAAAGGTACCATCAGAGTGCTCGTCAAGAGCGGTATGAAATAATCTCCTCCATGATCACTACCCGTATGAAGGATAGCGAACCAATCACGAGCCACATGCAGAAAATGCAAAGGTATGTGGACCGTCTAATGAAACTGAATGTGAACTTCCCTGAGGAGTTGGCAATTGATATCATTTTGCACTCCTTGCCATCGTGTTATGATCAATTTCGTATGACATACCACATGAACAAGGAGGAAGTCACACTCAGTAAGCTTCAAGGACTTCTGAAGACTGCCGAAAGTGGTCTTAAGAGTAAGTCGGTTGCTACTCCTACTCCTACTACTACCCCTGTTTTGGCTATCGGGCAAGGCAAAGGGAAGAAGAGGAAGCACCCTTCGAAGGGTACCAAGGGAAAGTCCCTTGAAGGCTCCTCATCTGGAACCAAAGGTGGTTCTATCACTCCTTCTGCCATCCCTAAGGATGCTGAATGCTTCTACTGTCAAAATAAGGGGCACTGGAAGCGAAACTGCCCAAAGTACTTGCAGGATTCAAGGATGGGAAAGTGAAACCATCCCATGCAGGTATTTACACTATATTGTCTAATAACTCACCATATTCTAATTCTTGGGTTCTTGATACAGGTTGTGGTATTCACATCTGTTGTGACTTGCAGGGCCTAAGAAGAAGTGAGGATGTGGAGCACGGAAAGATAAACTTAATCATGGGAACAAGAAGGTTGCACCTGTTACCAAGATTGGAGTTTATACTTTGTTGCTAGATAGTGGGTTAAAGTTAGATTTGAATAAATGTGTGTACTCGTCTGAAATGGCGAGGACTATTATTTCCTTTCATGCTTTGTACAAACAAGGTTTTACCTTTTCTTTTGATAATGAAGTTGGTAGTATTAATGCTTTCTTTAATAATGTTCTTTATTTTAAAGCATTACCTTGTGATGGTGTGTATGAAGCTGTATCGGTTGTAGATAATTTAGGAAATAATGTATTATGTATTGATTCTTCTACTAGCTTGGATAAAGCATCTTTGTGGCATTGTCGTCTTGGACATGTAAGCAAGAAACATAGGCCAGCTCCAAAAGGATGGAGTCTTGGAGTCGTTCGACCTCAAGTCGGATGATAGTTGTGAGTCTTGTCTACTTGGAAAAATGACAAAATCACCCTTCACTGGTACTTGTGCAAGGGGTGAGGGTTTGTTGGACCTTATACATACTGATGTATGTGGACCATTCAAAACCGCCACAAGGGATGCTAATCGCTATTATGTGACTTTTATTGATGATTTTAGTAGATATGGTTATGTCTACTTAATCAAACATAAGTCAGAAACTTTTGAAAGGTTTAAAGAGTTTAAACAGGAAGTAGAAAATCAATTGGGCAGGAACATTAAGATGCTTCGATCCGATCGAGGTGGTGAGTATCTTAGTACTGAGTTCCTCGACTATCTTAAGGAGTGTGGGATTGTCTCACAATTGACACCTCCCAGGACACCACAGCTGAATGGTGTAGCTGAGAGGCGCAATCGAACTTTGTTGACATGGTTCGCTCTATGATGAGTCGAGCTTCGCTACCAATCTCTTTTTGGGGGTATGCCTTAGAGACTGCCACCCACATCCTTAATCTAGTCCCTACAAAGAAGGTTGCCAAAACACCTCATGAAATGTGGACTGGGAAAGTTCCCAATTTGGACCATATCAAGATTTGGGGTTGCGAGGCTTTCGTGAGGCGCGAAACTCATGACAAGCTCGAACCTCGAAGTGAAAGGTGTATTTTCATCGGCTACCCACAAAAATCCTTTGGTTACCTCTTCTACAGACCCAGTGAGAATGTGGTCTTTGTGGCTAGGAGAGGAGTCTTTCGAGAGAGAGAATTTATAAGCCAAGGAGACAGTGGGAGGCAAATTGACCTTGAAGAAATTCAAGACTCAATTGGTGAAGGAACCTCAGACACTAGCAATCAACTTGAGGAGGAAATTCCTGTTGATCCAGCTGACGAGTCTTACTTCCGAGGCGTTCCACAAGGGTTAGGAACACACCTGAGTTTTATTATG